CATAGGGAACGATCTCACCATCCATTCTCACAAAGGTCGGCTTACGACATATTTAAACCCAAAAGTTTCCCCATGTGTAAAAGAAATTTACATAAGGCCGACAGAGTCTTAGTTGTTAGAAAGGTGTCTTCTAGGTAAAACTCAGAACACCAATGAAAGCCTTCATGGGATGATGTGGAGTAGATGCCCAAAACATCTGTTTTCTGGACTAACTAGAGTGAAAATAGCCACAGCTTTTGTTGTTGGTGAGTTCAATCAGGGGGCTGTGGCAACACACAGGTTCCTTACCGCTGTGGGTTGTGCAGTTACAAGTAAGAGTGTAGAAATGGGGGCTAGAAGAAATAACAAGCGGATAAAAAAGGCAGACACTGCTATTCTCGAGGTGTCTAAAACACGTAGAAAAATTAGAGAAATTGCAAAATTAAAAGAAAATGAGTCCCATCAGAAAGAAGAGGGTAGGCTAGAAGAAATAACAAGCGGATAAAAAAGGCAGACACTGCTATTCTCGAGGTGTCTAAAACACGTAGAAAAATTAGAGAAATTGCAAAATTAAAAGAAAATGAGTCCCATCAGAAAGAAGAGGGTGGGGCATCTTATTTAGCTTTGGGGGGGGGGGGTTTAGTGTTAATTTAGATAGTCTTCCTTTATGATTGTTTTGTGAAATTTAATTTTTGGGTGGCATAATAATTTTTATATTTCTTTATGTTGAATGCATTTTGTAATACCGGTATTTGAATTTGTAACTCATTATTAGCATTTGATATGATTAGTTAATTGCAATCTATTTTATCTTTATACAACCATTCATGTGAATATCAAAGTATAATAAAGGAATAGACGTATACACACACTGGGTATAACCAATATAGGGATAAATCATTAATTTTTGTTTATTATTTTTTTTTATGTCATTCTGTAAAATTATCAGTAAAAAATTTTAATGTTTGCATTGTGCTTTCATTTCCATAAACCTTTTATTACCTATGTTTGTTGTTATTAAAATGACAGGTTTGAAAACCATGTGATAAAGTATTTGAATGATATCTTGATTCAAAGTTGTTTTCATTGTTTTTTCTCCATTCTTTGTTTTTGTATTTTTTCAACACTGTGCACGGTGTAGTTTTTTTGTCTTTAGAGATTAAGAGTTGAAATTTGGCACAGATGTAGCTAATAATATTTACTATGCTCTCATGAGAGGATTTTATTATATCTTGTCTGGTTTATTTTTAAAAAATATAATAAAATTAAACTCTATGTAATTACAGTTATTTTTCATGACCCTCAAGGGCCGAAGACATTTTAAAAAGTATTTGATTTACATGAAATACTCTCTTGGAGTCATCAATAATATCATAAAGATCATCTGTACCAAGTTTCATCATTGTGACTTCGATAACTTTTTAGTTGGATACTTTTTAAACTTTTAAAAGTCCATCTAACATCTGGCCCTTGTCCATATAACATCTGGCCATTGTCCATATAACTTCTGGCCATTGTGTATATTACTTCTGGCCATTGTGCCTGGCCATTGTCCATTATAACATCTGGCTATTGTCCATATAACATCTGCCCATTGTCTATAGGCCTATAACATTGGGCCATTGTCCATATAACTTCTGGTCATTGTCCATATAACTTCTGACCATTGTCTATATCACATCTGGCCATTGTCCATATAACTTCTGACCATTGTCCATATAACTTCTGGCCATTGTCCATTGACGAATATTGCTCGATGCCGATAGAAAAATGGCAGTTATTCAATATTTTTACTCATTGTAATCATTATCGCATTATCATTGGAGAAAGTGCACTGAAAAAGGAGGGGGTAAGTGTGAGTAAAGGTGAATTGCACTAAGGTGGTTTAAATGTGTGGGGAAGGAGAGAGGATGTCGACACCCGCCCCCAGTTACATATCTAGGGTCAGTGCCGCCCGGGGCTTAGCAACAATTTTAGCCCCTCTTCCCCACCAAAAACTTAGAGACCCTTTAATACAGTCCTTCAAGTTGTGGAGACCCCCAACCATAAAATTATTTTCGTTGCTACTTCATAACTAAAGAGTATATGTGTTTTCCGATACTCTTAGGCAACCCATGGGAATCTTTCCACCCCCTCCCCCTCAAAGTGGTCGTGACCCACAGGTTAAGGACCGCTGATTTAGATGAATGTTTTAATGATGCTGCACTAAGAAAAAATAAGCTTTAAATACCTTGAAACATCAGATACATTCGTTTTAACATCAATTGCATTTATACTTGAATGTAGCTGTTCGGCTTATCAAAGAAAAACAAAATACTTTACTGTAAAGAGAACTCCTCAATATTGAGTTTTTGTTGATAGAAAACATTATAAATATTGCCAGATGGTCCCTTGTCATTGCCCGGCTGGGTTTTTTTAAAAATTAATTACTTTGTCTTTAGCATTTTCATATTGCTCACACTACAGAGTCAGAGAATAAAACTGGGCCGGAGTAGAATATGCAAATTATCCCATTTATCCTGTGCACATGCATCCATTTTATATATTGGGGTTGACACTGTGCTCTATGGCAAAACTGTGGTGAGACATCGCTCAAACGAACAGTGCCCGCCTCAATGCAGACAGGGTACCCTTAAAAACATATAGGGTTTACCCCATACTAGTTGTGTTGCTATAATCACTTGTAACAGATGGTAAAAAAAAATTAACACTTCATCATATATAAAACTTTTTTTAATATATTTATTTACAAGATACCCAATTAAAATAATAACAAATAACTACTACTAAGACCTTAAAAAAACATTCCATCAAAAATGTGCGAAGAACAAAACAATCAGCTGAACGTCAGATATGGTAGATGGCATTGTAAACTTGTGATGTACATAAAAAAACTTGGAATATTTAGTGTAAGTGGATGGACAACACTTGGTTAAAACTTGGAATGTTTGTTCTCAAAGTAGAAAATCATTGCACAAGAAAATAAAAATCGCTGCCAAAGCCCCAGGATGCCAATCTATGGATTGATGGTGGGAGACCTGGTCCAATTAATCTATAGATATCTCAGTGAAATAACAAATATGGATTGATAGCGGGGGACACTGCTCCAATTAATCTACAGATATGTCAGTGAAATAACAAATATGGATTGATAGCGGGGGACACTGCTCCAATTAATCTACAGATATGTCAGTGAAATAACAAATATGGATTGATAGCGAGGGACACTGCTCCAATTAATCTATAGATATGTCAGTGATATAACAAATATGGATTGATAGCGAGGGACACTGCTCCAATTAATCTATAGATATGTCAGTGATATAACAAATATGGATTGATAGCGAGGGACACTGCTCCAATTAATCTACAGATATGTCAGTGAAATAACAATCTATGTTAAAAGTAACTCCTGAGGTTGGTTATAATTTTATGAAGTGGTTGCAATTAATTGACTCTTTTAATCAGGATCAAGCCCCGAAAATTTCACAGTAACAAATAATTCTTAATTTGTTTGCATGCTCTCAGCCACAGAGAAATTTCAACACATTTAATGTCACCTCTGTACACAAAAACTGAATCACAAACGCATGCAATTTTAGATACTGCTCTAGTTTTATACAATTACATTTGTTCTAAAATGTAAACAAACTATTCTTTTAAATGGCTACATGTTGAGAACTAATAGTAACATGAGTCAACAAATTTGTTTAAAAACCTTAAAACACACACAAAATCTTTTGTACTTGAGTACAATCTCTCAATAAACCATACCCCAAAAAAAAAGAACAATTTCTATGTTAACAGTTTTTATAGATCAATCTTGTTTTTCTTTAAAGAAAAAAACACAAGCCATTTACAAAGCAGACTTTACTATTGTGTCAACACTTCATTAAGTGGTGTTCATAATGCAGTGCTTTTTAACATGGTATTTGTATCTTAGTGTTTGTACCCAGGTGTTTGAACCACAATGTATGTACTTCAGTTGTTATGACAGTGTTTTTACCATGGTGTTTGTATCTCTGTGTGTGTACCCCTGTGTTTGTAACCCTGTGTTTGTACCACAATGTACTTACTGCAGTGTTTATACCAGTGTCTTTATCATGGTGTTTGTACCCTCTGTGTTTGTACCACAATGTATGTACTGCAGTGGTTATACCAGTGTCTTTATCATGGTGTTTGTACCACAATGTACGTACTTCAGTGGTTATACCAGTGTCTGTGGGTATACCAGTGTCTTTAACATGGTGTTTGTACCACAATGTATGTACTGCAGTGGTTATACCAGTGTCTGTGGGTATACCAGTGTCTTTAACATGGTTTTTGTACCACAATGTAAGTACTGCAGTGGTTATACCAGTGTCTTTATCATGGTGTTTGTACCACAATGTAAGTACTGCAGTGGTTATACCAGTGTCTTTATCATGGTGTTTGTACCACAATGTATGTACTGCAGTGGTTATACCAGTGTCTGTGGGTATACCAGTGTCTTTAACATGGTGTTTGTACCACAATGTATGTACTGCAGTGGTTATACCAGTGTCTTTATCATGGTGTTTGTACCACAATGTACGTACTTCAGTGGTTATACCAGTGTCTTTATCATGGTGTTTGTACCACAATGTACGTACTTCAGTGGTTATACCAGTGTCCAGTGGTTATACCAGTGTCTTTATCATGGTGTTTGTACCACAATGTACGTACTTCAGTGGTTATACCAGTGTCTTTATCATGGTGTTTGTACCACAATGTACGTACTTCAGTGGTTATACCAGTGTCGTTATCATTGTGTGTGTACCCCTGTGTTTGTACCACAATGTACGTACTTCAGTGGTTATACCAGTGTTTTCACCATGACATTTTATCTCAGTGGTTGTACTGCACGTTTTTTTTTTTACCATGGCATTATGACAAGAAATCATCTATGTACAGATTTAGCAGCAAAATCCTATTAATTATAATAATAATAATGATAATAGTTGAACCAAAATATTTCCAGCTTTGGTTTATCTACAGCTTACTCTCACAGCACACTAAAAGTTTGTAAATCCTTCTTTAAATCACTTATGATATAAAATCACATGTTTTACAACAGAATTGTTTAGTGCTCACTTCCCTGTGCAACCGTACAAATTAAGCCTCTATTCCAAAATGTCTGCCAGAAAACCAGCCTCCGGTAATCTCACATCCTCATTATGTCTGCCACGAGACCAGCCTCTGGTAATCTCACTTCCTCAAAATGTAAGCCACAAGACCAGCCTCCGGTAATCTCACTTCCCCTTGTTGCCCACAATGATAGGCTTCCCCTCCTTGAGCTCAGCGAGTATATGACTACTGCCATTGGATAGAGTGACACACTGAATGGGCACCAAGCGTTCCATGGTTGTGATAGGTCTCAACCTGATGGGACACAAAAAACATGACATAGTGTTTAAACTGCCTACTGCAACGTGTGACTTAAATGTGCAACTTCAAATTGATCACTTAGCCCGACCTTTCAAACTGATCACTTTACTGGACCTTTCAAATTGATCACTTTACTGGAACTTTAAAATTGATCACTTAACTGGGCCTTTCAAATTGATCACTTAACTGCACCTTTCAAATTGAAATTGATCACTTAACTGGACCTTTCAAATTGATCACATAACTGGACCTTTCAAATTGATCACTTAACTGGATCTTTCAAATTGATCAATTAACTGGACCTTTCAAATTGACCTCTTTACTGGAGCTGTCAAAATGATCCCTGAACTGGTCCTTTCAAATTGATCACTAAACTGGATCATTCAAATTGTTCGCTTAACTGGTCCTTTCAAATTGATCAATTAACTGGACCTTTCAAATTGATCACTTAACTGGACCTTTCAAATTGATCAAATAACTGGACCTTTCAAATTGATCACTTAACTGGATCTTACAAATTGATCACTTAACAAATAATAGCAATGGAAGAAGAAAATGCTCTTACATCAACAAAGAAAGGTTTCAGGACTTTCAAAAAATTGAAGACACCCAAAGGCTTCCCAGACTTGGTGGTCTTGACCACAGCCTCATCAAAGGTCAGTCTCCTGGGATGGGGCTCCTGAAACAAGAGTTTTTACAGTGAACAAAATTGTACAAACATCAGCTTTGAAATAACTTGCCAATGCTCAGTATAAATAATATATAGCATACAAAATAGAAAAAAATGCCAACAGAAAAAAAATTTCTATGCAAAAAACATATCAGCTATTCTAGAAACAAATCCAAAAAAATATGAATACCAATCAGTGCCCAGTAAATTGTGACTTAAAATAAACTATAGTTAAATTCAATCATAGTCAATCATAGTTAAAGTCAATCACGGTGAAATTCATTCATAGTTAAAGTCAATACAATTTTGATGTAAAAATTACATTTAAAAAATCTGCTGACCATCATTTCTAGGTACCTATTTTTTTTCTTAAGGTTTCATTAGAGAAAAGATTTACCTTGAGCAGTTGTGATAGGCTCTGACCAAAGTTTCTGATCATGCCTTCAACAGACAATCTCTCTTTCGGGTCTTGGATGGCATCCAGATCCACAGCTCCTGAAAAATTGTTACATGGTCTTATGAGAAAATAATGATTCAATGTAATTTAACAGAATGATGATTTTAATTCATGTGACAGAAAGATGATTCAAGTCATGTGACATAATGATGATTTCTATTGATGTGACAGAATGATGATTCAAGTCATATGACAGAATGATAATTTTAATTGAAGTGACAGAATGGTGATTCAAGTCATGTCACAGGATGATGATTCAAGTCATAAGACAGAATGATGATTTCAATAGACTTGACAGAATGATGATTTCAATAAAACAAAGTTAATGTGGAGATTTAGTCTATGAGTCATGCCTGGATGATTCATACATCACACAGATGAAGAATTCAGCAAACACCTGATCAAATGCGACCCCCACCCCCCAACACACTTTAGTCCTTTAGTTTCATTTTCACACATTCACACGAACCCATTAGCAGTCTTCACATGTTCAAGATGTTCATCTGTATGTCTCCTGGCTGATATTTCCCATTTCTTTTCTACATCTCATGCCACAGATGGTTTTTATTTAACAGTTATGTACTCATTGATGGTGTTATTTATTTAACAGTTAGTTTCTGAAACAATTTGTTACTGGGAAGTAGTAAACATGACAACCTGCCATCATAATTGATGACTTGCATTTTGCATTATTAATTTGTAATAGAGGACATGTGTACCTTCATATGTAACGTAATAGAAGACGTCGAGGCCCTCCACTGCGGCAGGGCCTTTCTGTTTGTATCCAAATATCAGATCCATCCAGTTGTGTAGATTGGCTGATACATACTCACTTTCCTGAGAGAAAAAAAAGTCAAATTTATTTCAATGTACTTCTTACTAGCGTCTACCGTCAAAATCAAGGCTATTTATTATTGAAACTATTGTATCTGCACATTATCCATTTTACCACATGCTTTACCACATGGGATCATTTTCACATAGAAGCAAAAAAAGGATAATTTAAAACACATTCAATGACGTTTTTGTGCTTAAACTTATATAAAACACCTCTAGTGTCAATGTCTAGAAACTTCACAGATTGTTACTTAAATAACAGTTTCAGTACAGTGCACAGGCAAGAAGTCCCATTGGTAGGGGTCATATCTGTCATACAGGAGAATTCTGTCAGTGTTTATAACCCACTTACAGTTATTTGATATCATAGTGCCACGGGCAAGAAGTCCTATTGGTATGGGTCATATCTTTTCATACAGTAGAAGTCTGTCCATGTTTATAAACCACTTACAATTATTTCATATCATGGTGCCACAGGCAGGTGAGGAAAACAGGGTGGGGGTCTACCCCAATTCTCAACTACCCAACAGTTTGAACAGTGCAGTCACATCTGTACTGTCAAACATCCTGGCATTAAACTCATGAAACGTGGCTGGTCCAAGGAGGCAGACTGACCTACATGACAACATGTCATGTAACCAAAGAAAGACAAGTAGTTGCAAAAAAGACATGTTTACCAGGGCCTGTCTGTGGTATTAAATGAACTTTTCAGGTGTGCTGGCACCAGGGAGGCAACTCGACATCATCCACAGACGTTTTGGTGATCTGAAGTCTTCCAAGATCAAAACCTGGACATGATACAAACAATTGATTTGTGCTATGTTAGTAACTGAGAAAATGTCACATCTACAGATGTAATTGTAATCTTGCAATGAATTAAGCCAAGAAAAAGTGTGTTTTTTAATGTGATAGTCAAACATTGAAATTAAAATGTCAACAGAAACACTGGCATAGATCCAACATTAGAAAGTCTACAGGTTTTGGTGACTGATTTAAAGCAAAGGTCTTTAAAATAAAGTATTGCAATTAAAGATGAGCATCTCAGTATTGGCAGTGTTGCAGACTGCAGTAAGATTTACTTAGCAGTGTTGCAGACTGCATTAAGATTTACTTAGCAGTGTTGCAGACTGCACTGCGGCATTTACAGCAAGTCTTACCAATGAAGTTGACAAGAAACTCGGGGAAGTAGAAAACTCTGGAAGTAGTTCCTTGACATCAGTTGGGTTGTCCATCAGGGAGGAGAAGATCCCTGGAATTGAGTGGAACTGATGGTCGGCCACATCAAACCTGGGGATTGTGGCACCATAGTACATGCAAATTACACAAAAGTTGCATCATTACACAGGGGATGTACACAAAAGAAACTTCAAATAAGATTATGTGCATTGTCTAACAAGCTGTCTGTTGATAAAGAATTTCAGCCAAAACTTTCTTTTGATTAGACAATCCTTTATTTTCATTCAAGCTTTCACAAATCCTGTTCTTTTGCACAACCTGTTCTTTAACACAACCTGTTCTTTAACACAACCTGTTCTTTCACACACCCTGTTGTTTCACATATCCTGTTCTTTCAGACAACCTGTTCTTTCACACATCCTGTTCTTTCACACATTCTGATCTTTCATACAATTTGTTCTTTCACACATCCTGTTCTTTCACACAACCTGTTCTTTCACACAACCTGTTCTTTCACGCAACCTGTTCTTTAAGACATCCTGTTCTTACCCATTCCTAAGGAAGTATTGTCTAAGCTTTTAATAAAGGAAGGATCAACTTTTCTTTAAAAAACAAATTTGGTTATCCACATACTGAAAAACTTCAGCATAAAGATTCCTGTAGATTCCTTTTGGACTTCATGACAATATTTTTGTGCACAACTCTAGTAATAGCTTATTGGATTTCAGAAAGGTATTCAGATGCAATGTCTTTTTATACAAATGATCATGTACCAATGGAAGTGACATACATGTACTGTGCAGTTAACCAATGTACAAGTGGAAGTGACATACATGTACTGTGCAGTTAACCAATGTACAAGTAGCCTCAGTGAATTCATGAACATATTTAAACAATGTCAGTAAAACAAGGGATGGGGGCACTAAATTGGCTGCCTCCTGCCCCGCTCTCCAACCCCAGCATCCACCAGTATCTCTATGCACTTACTTGACACTGTAATGCTCTATGTGCAGCATTTTAAACTCCCTCCACCCCCCTCCCCCAGCAACCACTCTATGCATTTACTTGCCACTCTGAATCTCTATGTGCAGAGTTGTAAATGGCTCGACCCTGACCAAATAGTGCATGACGCTGGCAGCATTGCTGTGGTGTGTGCCGCAGTGAAACTTTTCTATAATCCCAGAAGGGTCCTAAAAGGTGTCATATCTGTTGGGAATAGATACTTCTTCTTCTTTATTTACGTTAACTAGTATTTGCTACTGTATAGTCTTAAATAAAGAATTTTCTTGATGCCATCTTCTTCTTCCATATATTAAGGGCCCAAAATCAAATATTGATCATTCTGTCTCCTGTTGGCCCGAAAAAAATTGTTTCACATAGTCCTACCAAGAAATCACTCACTGCAACCTGATTGAGCGTGTTATGAATGAAAAAGTTCAGCTTTTAAACAGTCCAAGAAACTTTCAGAACCAAAAATATCCAACTATCCAGGAATAAAATTTGAAGAGAACACTTCAAAAATGAGAAAATGTGTGAGAACTTTCACTGCTGCCTGTTAGGCGCTTGTGAACTCTCATCACTGTTATAGTATGCAACAAGACATTGGGTCGACGGCACATTAGGTAGAGGAGCCAAGTATCAAGTGAACTGGGTATAATGTCAGTATAAGGACTGGTTAGCTTCAATTTATCTTCTTACGAAAGGAAAAATACGCATCCGAAGACATACATTATGATTTTGGCCAAAGTCATTAGTGTATTTTCCACAGATATGACTTTTTCCTCCAATTAATTGTTGTCAAAATTTCAGATTTTCTTCCTTTTGTACTAACGTTGTTTGTATTCTGCCACCTTGTTACAGCCGGTTGTTCCTTGTAAATTTAAAAAAAAAAAATGCTATCTCAATATCTTAAAACACAGTTATTTGGTATGCTGGCATTCCAATATAAAGGTAAACAAGAAATATTTAACGCACTATGCTATATAGTAAAATAAATATTGTGTTCAAAAAGAAATTTGAAGCAAAATTTTAACGTAACAACTGATAAAAAGATTCAACCAAATTTCAGTTCAATCAAATTTCCATCGATCAATTTACCATCAACAAAATTTCTTTTGATCAAATTTCCAGATACGCTTTGAAATATGGCATAACAAACCTCTGCACCCACTTACCCTATAAAAAAAAATCACCTCCCATGGATATCAAATAACTGCACCTGTGTCAGAAACATTTCCCGAGAAACAGTTATTCTTAACCAGGATTGAAAGCATCCTGAGGTGCAGGAGACCCACAAATTGTATCTTCTGCCACAGCTAGTTATAGTTGTTGCTGCCTTTTAAAAAAATAGTAGTTATGTATTTTGATTAGCAGCAGTAAACAATTTTTCCAGGTAAATTTTATTCACAAATTACTTTTATTGGTAATTTTTTCTTTTTTCTAGAAAGTTAAATAGAACAATAAAACTAAACTAAATCATTTAATTATTTGGGGGGGGGGGGGGGGGGGGGGGGGCGGAGGAGATGTTTTTAAATTACAGGGGATGCAGTGCTGCTGCAAAAATTTTAAGTATCCCAGCCCTAGAACATTTAACTAAGATCATTCCCCGCCAACCATTTTTTCATTCCATCTCACTTTACTTGGAAGCCCTAATTCTATGAACATACAGGATAGTCAGAAAGAATAGTAACATATAGGCTGTCTTAGGCTTACATAGGTGTAGGCTAGGAGTAGGGCCAAGTCCTAGGCCTTGTGTCGATTATTGTAAATGTAACCATTGTAAGTAGTCAACTAGATTCGACCTTAAATCATTGATGAGTGAATTGAGTAACGTCAATGTGATTTGTGACTACTGAACTCCTCCTTTTTCAATTTCAGAACTGAGAACCAGTCAGTCAGCTCAAACTTCATTCACAGAGAAATATCAATTGATGCCTTATAGGTCTATAAGATAAGATAAGATAAGATAAGATTGTTTTATTGATCCAAATAAATGAAAATGTTTTTTGATATCATTATACATTTTCAGCACATAAATAAAACTATTTGAACACAAACATTTATAATAATTTATTTCAAACAGCCATTCAGAGATGTGAGTTCTCTTAGCCAAATCGGGGACTTATTAGTTCTCATTAAGATGTGTGACTTCAGAGGGAGCATGCTGGTAAATGTGTACAGATTGGGGACCAAATAATTTTTATGGAAACTATGGATTACAAAAAAATTACACCCAAAAGTCTCTTAGTAGCCTGCTCCTTATTAGCATTAGGTGGAATGAAAGTGAGGGTGATAGAGATTTGGGTAAACTCCCTAAGAAGGTAAAATTGCCCTAAAGTGATGAAGAGTAGTTCTATGTTCGGTGTACAAACTACATGTTTCACTCAGTCTCAGACTGTACTTAGATACTTCAGTAAACCAAGGGAGGCTACTACTTTTTGTGTATCGGAAAATACTTCAGTAAACCAAGGGAGACTACTACTTTTTGTGTATCGGAAATGGCTATCGGCGCCAAAAATCCTAGTTTTTAATTTTCCGATGTGTGTCTATTTATTATTAAATGAGTACTTTCGACATATATTTGAGTTCCATTTCCGGCTTTATATTTAGGTAGACATCTTGGCCACATTTACATTGATTTGTTTGAATTTTTCAATCAACATGTATTTTGAGATTCCCCTTTAAATATAAGGCATCTTTCACTATAAAATTCTTATAAAAGTTCAACTTTTATATCTTTAAAAAAAGTCTTATTCTGTATTATCTATCAATGTGTATTTGTGTCAATTTTCATTCAGTTAGGACATGTCGGTCACTTGTTATGCTCACTTGAGTAAACCCCTATATGGTAATGTAGCTCAGCCTAATTTTGATAAGGAAGTGGCGGAAGATGCCGTTACTTAGGAAATATTTAATTATTTCCACAATTTACATCAAACTATTTGATAACTTAGTTTTAGAATGAATTTAAATGTTATTGAAAGAATACTGTTTTAATTTGAGGTATAAAAAAAACCCGGCAGAGTCCATATTAATAAATGATCAAAATTCACAGTGTGCAAAATATCATGGCGGCCATTCACAGTGACTTGCATAATGGCTATTATTTACTACTATCTCAGAGTTTTCATTCCTAAAAGTTTGCCGTGTGCAAAAACTATTAAACTAGGTCAGGGAAAGTTTTAATTAATTAGTCATGTACCAAAGTTGAAGCTTTAATTAATAAGTCAGGTACCAAAGTTGAAAGTTCAATACTCCCAAACAGTATTTTAGTAATTAGGGCATGAGTTGCCTTATGTAGACAATATAGCAAATATCGGTGTAATGGACGTCGTAGATTTGGTAAACAGAAAAGCCATATATTTATACATTATCATTATATTATATTAAATTTACTGATATAAATTATAAATAGTGCATAGTTAGAAAAGCTACAATTTATCTATAATTGTTAACATTATTTAACTTACTTTTTTAATACAGCATTAGTTCTGAAAATAAAATTATCATTAAAACAAGAGTTATATAGCTCGTGAAGCAAACAGCGGAATTGGGTCACAGAATGTGGAGATGCTGTCCATGTTAATATTGTTAAAAAAAGGACAAATTAAGTTGTACTTTATGTTAAAATTCATAATTTTAAAACTACAACAGCTAAAAATATGATTTTGGTGTTATAATTCTTTCAAAAATTAGCTCTATTCAACTATGCCATTGGTTAATTTTTTTTAAAGTTTTAATTTTGTTATCAAAGTATCTATCACTGTGTTGACGTTGAATGATAGGCTACAGGCTACAGTACACATCAGTAGTTTTTGTTACTATATATTGCCAATCCCCCTCCCTGGGATTTATTTATTATTATTAAAGGCCACAAGACCACATACGGATATGCTTTTAAAATTTATTCATAGTGAATATCCTACCGATAAGGTAAATAATTTCCATTTTGATAACAGTATTATAGTGTTTGTTTCCGTAGCTCTTCGCCCATCTTTTAGGTATATTTGTGTAATTCTTCTATTTCTGTGAGAATAAAATTATTTCCCTGAGGTTAGGAGTTACTTCCCCTAAAAGAATAAAAAATGAGTAAAACAGAGTAGGGTTATACCTGAAAAAACAACTAAACAAAGAACGTGTCGACAGGAAGCCTTCGTCAGCAAACAAAACAACAGAAAAAACGGTATAAAAATAAGAAATAGCACTTAGCTTAGAAGTAGTATCCGTGGGCATCAAAAGAAATGTGTTTTACTCATTTTATATTGTGCTAACCTGATTGCAGTCTCTCCCCTTATTACCCTTCTCCTAGAAGGAAGGAAGAAAAAAAAGCTTAATTAGATATGCGACTATGTGGGGGTCATGAAAGAAAATACTATCGCCAATCTACATAATAATATGCCAAGAGACAATGGTAAAGCATCGCTGGAAACCCCAGCATACTTTTTTTAAACCCCAGAAAAATTGGTGCGGTGGGAGCACGACTACGACTACTTCATGTACCAACAGAACATTTTGAACTCCGATATTTACCGAATATACCCTACCACCAAGTATGTATGAGAAGGGGTGGAGAAAAAACTCCCTTATCAATAATTTTGGAAATTAAATGTAAAACTTCACTGAAGTGAACGTGGGATGGAAATATGACAGAAAGCCCCAAAGGCGTTTCAAAGTTTAAACCCAACCCTAGAAATTTAAGCTATTATTCCCTTGTACTGTCCACAGATAGACTAGGCCTACGCTTGATATCCCATAATTAACCACGCAATTCATCGACACTGCGACTGTAACTTCATGTCAACCATGTCTAAAGGGTACAGGCAAACAACCAACCAGAAAAATCAGGAGATCGTGATATTGCACGATCCCTTGACCATCTGATGCTCGCCAGATGCTGTTGATCGTTTTTTAAACTTGGTTAAACTGTTTGCATTCTATTGTAGTTTTGAACTAGGGCCTTTCAGAGAGGCTTTGACCTTTTGACTTTTAGGACCCCTTGTCTCACCCGACCCTTGTCTCACCGACATCACAAGGTAGGCCTAACTTCACTAATGTCATGACATCACCAGGTAGGCCTAACTTCACCAATGTCATGACATCACCAGGTAGGCCTAACTTCACCAATGGCATGACATCACCAGGTAGGCCTAACTTCACCAATGGCATGACATCACCAGGTAGGCCTAACTTCACCAATGGCATGACATCACCAGGTAGGCCTAACTTCACCAATGGCATGACATCACCAGCTAGGCCTAACTTCACCAATGGCATGACATCACCAGGTAGGCCTAACTTCACCAATGGCATGACATCACCATCATCTTGGAACCTAAGGGCATTGTTTCCCAGTGTGGAGCAGACGACAATTGTTTACGATTATAGATGGACAGATAGTCTCTGAGAAAGAAAAAAAAAAGCTTGAAGTGAAATGTTAGAAATGACAATTTTTTAGTTAGCCAATGTTTTTATTCGTCCATATGTTGAAATACAAATTTATTTTAACTTAATGTAAAGTTCATCTTACACCTTTTATTCGTCCGTCAAAATCGACAACGACCATCTAGTCATCTTGTTAAGGGCGGGGTGGGTCACAGTGTGTACGTATGTGGCTTGCTTGTCCAATCCGTGCTCGGAATAGTCTCTGGCACCGCGGGCAGGTTATGGTTGCTGTATTCGGTGGTCTAAGTTTGCATTTTCGGGCTAGCTTGCGTGTCTCAGCTGTCACTATCCTTTAGGCTTCATGAGAATAAGCCCCTTTCTTGTCAGATGATCTGCAATTGGCTCTTTCCTGGGGTGTCTGCCCCCATTCAATAGGTTGATGTTGAAGGCCTTTAGTGCTGCTTTCTGTGTGTCTTTGTATTGCTTTCTTTGACCGTCTTGGGAGCAGTGTTTCTTTCAGACAATTTCCTTCGGGGTAGAATTTCTGATTTTCCGGGGCGGGGGGGGGGCAGTGCTCGTGGAAAGAGGCGTAGCTAAGGTGGGCATGTGGAATGCATGTGTCCCCCGGGCACCAGATAGTGGGGGACACCTAATGGGCTTTCATTGTACTATATATATTGGATGAAAATAATACATTTCAGATTTAGGAGGGTGTATAAAAAGGAATCTTGCTCCCTGGAACTAAACCACAAGACTAACCCCAACGCCAGTGACGTAAACAGGGGGGGGGCGAATAGTTGGTCTGCCCAGGGGTTATTCTTTTGTTATATTGAGAGTTTATATAGTGAAAGGTAGCGTGGCATAGTGTTAACCCGCCGAAAGTGGCGCTAACACCAGGCACTCCACTGGGCAGTGGATAGATCGGCGCCAAAATTGGTTGTCAAGGCAAGCAGTGCTGCCATTTTTATCAGGAAATAGGGCAGAAATTGAACACCCCGATGGCTTTTCCTTAACCAGAAAATTTAGATCATTTATAAATCAAGAGGTGCATTTTAAAGTGTACATAATCTGAATGTTTTGATAAGACTTTTTGATCAGGAGAAATAATTTTTCAAGCGTTGGGGAAGGCCTTATGTCACTCAGTGCCATACCTAAACTTAATTCATTCTGGTTGTAGTGCGCCCCAGATAATCATTTGACACAAGATTAGATTCAAACCCGTTAAGTCACACTGATCGACGTCAAGGAGGGGGGTAGCAGAAATTGAGGAATCCGGAGAGTCATGAGCAAAATCGGGGGCAGGGGGGTGGGGGGCAGGTGTCCCCTTAATTTAAAATAAATTCAAATTGCAGTGAAGCATATTGGTGCATATTTTAATTCACTCTTTCTTCCAGGCAATGTGTAAAGGGGGCATTTCAGACTTTCATATTTTCACTAGTAGATTTCTCCCGTAGAAATGCTACGAATAAAGCATCAACCAACATTTGTGTACTACTAAAGAGCTTATGATATGGTAAACAGGAAGTACCTAACAAACTTACCCGGCTCGTACGATGATGACCTAATCACAAAATAGAAGCAAAGTACAGGGAGGGAACTCGAGAGTTTCCAATTAATCAGGGCTTCGGACAAGGAAATTCATGTATCCTTTTCAATATCACGTGATAAAAAGGCATTAGAAACATACATTTGAGCACCAGTGGAAACATTATTACAAACTAATTCCAGAGAAGTGCCGTAGTAAAGAACAACAACCATCAGGAACTTTACAAAGCCAGACACTGCAGTACCTGGCATATGAAGACGGTATAGCGCTAATTGGTAGAAACAGCAATGCTATCATTAAAGCATTCGGGGAATTTGAAGATGTATCTGTCAAAGCTGGTCTGGGGGGTAAATGAAGCGAAGACAACAAATATGATAATGTCACAAAACACGCACAATGATGACAACATCAATAAGAACAAACAGACCTTTGAGAAAGTTGCTACTTTCAAATATCTAGGGGTGACTATACATGAGCACAATAAAATAATGTCGGAATTGAAAGAAAGGATAACATCAGGCATCTTTTCTTATTTCAGGCTACAAAAGCTACAAGGAAGCAAAAACCTCTTTAAGGGGGAAAAGGGCAATATACATCACTGTCATAGGAGAAGCTTTAACTTACACAAGTGAGATTACAAGAAAAGCAAAGAACCTGCTCAATGCGGTACAAGGGAGAGGAAAATTCTCAGGAAATTTTAAGGCCCGGTGATAGACAATTTTGTTTAGGGAATCCCTACAAAGCAAGAGATACCTCAATTACATACAGACCCGCAGACTGCCCTGGCATGGAGAGGACACACGGAAATAATGCCAGATTGTAAAGCAGCCAACACGATCTGATCTACAGGCGGAATCCTAGGGGCAGACACTCATGGGTCGACCAAGACTAAGTTGGATCGACGATGTAGAGAAGGACTTCACCAGCTGGGTTTCGCGCATTGAGGCAGAAAGACATGATCGATCCGAATGGAGCAGGCCAGGGCCCTACATGATACATGTGATATAGTGAGACTGAGTTCAGACATTTCAGACTTTGAATGGAAAGCGCTAACAAAAAAAAAAAACAATAATAACAGGGACATCTCTGACTCTTCCACTAGCCAAACATGAAATAAACTCATTTAAGCTGGGGGGCCTTTAAGGGTATCCTTTTCCCCCATTAGATACTGCCACTTAAACGCCACTTAAAACTTTATATTCTCCAGAATTTCGTTAATAAATTTAAAATGCAAGAATGCATTTTTGTACATAGTTAAATTTACTATTGCATCACTATACTTTATACTCTTAAATGGAGAGCAATGAGAGAAATTCTAGCTAAGATTTTAGGTGTCACTAGACCTCAGATCCATAGTGTGGGCTCTGCAGCCCGTACAGCTGAATGGGGCTTATTAATATAGGTTGTGTTGTAAATACTTTTAATGATCAACTTTTAAAGCTAGATAGAGAAGGACAAAACCGAAAAGTAGCGGAGGGGGGGGTGACATTTCCACGCTCGACTTTAAATTATAAATGGGAGGTTGGTTGGGGAAGATGGGTGGATTCAGTGATCCGCGTCTCCTTGTGTATCTACTCACGTGGAACTAAGAGAGATTTAACAAAATACCCCCCCCCCCTTTTTTTTGGGGGGGGGGGTAATTTCTCTTATAATCAGGTGTGATGCCGGAACGTGGAACTAAGAGAGATTTAACAAAATACCCCCCCCCCCCTTTTTTTTTGGGGGGGGGGTAATTTCTCTTATAATCAGGTGTGATGCCAGCACCAGAAGACATGAATCACCATCACTCTTGACTTTTTGACACCTGGAACACGTGACAATACAGGTGTTGAGGTCAAGGACATTGTTATGAAATGTCTTCCACATTTCAGGCTGTGACTTATCTCTATTATTTTCTCTTATTTGACGAACTTTAAAAAATAGTTTTTAAAATATTTTGTTCTAAATTTAAATTAATTATTAAAAGATATTAGAAAATTTTGTAAAATATTATTTTATTAACCATATAAATGAGTAAAAATTCATTAAACATTTTTGAAATTATTTTTATCGTTTCGATTTATGTACTTAGAATCGCCCGACCATATCGTATTTGGTGGTATCAATAGAAAGCTTTATTTCTCAGAATTTAGATTAAATATACCTTCCTGTCACTTACGAAAGTTACCGAAATCTATAATCGGCGTTGAATAATGGTCAAAACGGTGTTTTTCTGACCTAATCAAAGGTTCGCCTTATTTCTGACGCATCAACCTCGAATTTTTATTAAAGCATGCATTTGGATTGGTTAAACGTGTGGAAAATGTACGTGTGATTGGTCATCCTTTTATGAAGTTCGGTTAAACCGAGCAGTGTGCGCTCTATAAATTTGCAATTTTTCAATTTCGTGTCACCCCCTGGGATGGTGTCACCCAGTGCGGTCCGCACCCTCTAGCTGCGCCACTGGTGCCAGGAAGGATACTTACAAGAGAACGTGAATATTTCAGCTGCGGTGTCATGGTAGCAGTTGTTGTGTCTTGAATGGGAAAAACTGGTGCTGTATTCTTTGAACCAGGCGCTAAAGTAAGCAGTGAATTTTTATTTATTTTTTTTTAACGAGGTTTTCCCCCTGACATTCCAGCGACATGCGGTCATTACAGCAGGACGGAGCCATCTAGGCTAATGGGAGGAAAATACTAAATTCATAATTATTTCCCCCTCTACTGGACACCTTAGGGCTTAGACCAGTGGTCGGAAAACTCATTAGTCAAAAGAGCACAAAATCAGCAGAAGGGCGATTTTTTTTTTTTTTTAAATTGAGAGCCAAATTTATTTTTAAGAACCTGTCAAGAACCACATTTTTCGGAGTCAAAACCGATTTGTGGCCGACAGGGCACACCACGATTTGCCGACCCCTGCCTCAGACTGATCGTTAATCTTTAAACACAAAAAATGCCATCACTAATAAAATTTATTGAGGGTGGAAAAAAAAAACAGAATATAAAGAAACTAAACACAATTAATTTTCATTTCTAAACAAAATGACACATTTAAATTTTATTTGATGCATAAAGATAATCATTTGATTGATACACGACTGTAATTATTTTAATCATATTTTGTTGTCGAACGCAAGAAGGACAGAGATTTTACAACAAAATCAAATTGGGCTATTTGTATTGTCTGAGAACCATCGACCAAAAAATATGTACGCAATCGTGCTTAAAGGTTTATTCCCCTTCTGAATAAAGTGACACGTTTTAAACGAAATACTCAAAATAAAATGGATTCGTTATTTTCGTTTTAACTGCGGGGAACCACACGCTTCCCTGTGTCCGTCACCATCGATCTGGTAGTTCCGGTCTCAGGGCAGTGAACGTTTTTTGGAAGCAATCTTCAAAACAGCTGTTCCCGTAGGTTGGACACTGGTCACCGCACGTGTCGAACGAATCAAAGCACGCTTTCCGACACGGGGCGGCAACAGGCCAGCATTCTTCCAGGCACGTGACTGTGTCGTCATTGAAACCCGACTCATAGCAGTCTGTAGGTTACAAAGAGGGTGACCCAATGATTAGCATAAAGTATGTACAATTTGACCTATAGGCCTAATATTAAAAATGTGTATGGAAAAAGCTAACAATGCTACACATTAGTATCAATAAACCATCTTCCAGCCTTCATGAAACGTTCCCTTATCCCCTAAATCCCACCTGCTCCCTTTAAACCTCCAACCCCCTCAAGCTCCCCCCCTCCCCCCCCCATGAGTTAACTTTTCCAACAACTCGCCGGTCAAATACATTTCCATCCGTTATTTCCTTCGGTGTCTATAATTTATCAACAAATTATTTCTAATACTGATAGGATTTTTGTTCAGGTGTATTCACATTTAAAAGGATAACATGACATATGGTGGACTGCCTGCGTTCAAGCTGCGTGAAGTCAATAATATAATAATGGAACACGATATGTTTTGGCTTGGAAACAGAGAAAAAAAAAGGACTGCAAAATTCAAAGGACGTTTCTTTTAACACTAAAAACTTTAATTCTACAATGTAGCTGCCTCGGTCTTAGTGTAGAAACAAAAAGGCGCGCTATATATAATTACTATAAAAACGGAAGTGACGTTGTTCAAGAACCTAAACCTTCCTGTCACATAATTCTGTGGAGCGTACCGTTAAGGTAAAAGATTTAAGTATTTTTAATGTAAATGTAATATTTTAAACTACCAAAAAAAAAAAAAAAAAGAGAATAAGAATCGGAGAGAAATTGAGGACCACTAGTAAGAAAGAATTTGATTGATTTATACTATAAAAACGGAAGTGACGTTGTTCAAGAACCTAAACCTTCCTGTCACATAATTCTGTGGAGCGTACCGTTAAGGTAAAAAATTTAAGTATTTTTAATGTAAATGTAATATTTTAAACTACCAAAAAAAAAAAAAAAAGAGAATAAGAATCGGAGAGAAATTGAGGACCACTAGTAAGAAAGAATTTGATTGATTTAAGAGAAGAAGAAATACATTGTGATGTGTGAACACTGAAGTAGGCCTATTTAATTTTTTTTTTAAAATTGTTACTTATTATTTTGTATTATCTGCCGAAGAAGGCATTTCTTTGTTATGTCTTGTTTTTCAATACTAAACATATTTATTTACTTCACATTAAAACATGAACTTATATATTTGACTCCTCTCTTTTTGAGTGTGAGTTTTCTATGTTGCTCTGTGCAACTGGGGTACTACGTCAGACAAAACTCAACGATGATATCTTTGATCATTGACAATGATTTACAATTTCATATCTCATGGTAGCCAAGGGCTAAAGCCAGGGACGTAGCAAGGGTTGGTGCCATCGACTGTGGGAAAAACAGTCACCGGAAAAACAGACACAGAAAAATAGTCACAGGGAAAACAGACGCAGAAAAAAGTCACAGGAAAAAAGTCGCTAAACAGGTCACAGAAAAACTTTTTGTGAACCGTAATTTTATTAGTCAGTCTATGTAAGTAAATGTTTATGGTAAAATAAAATACCAGTAAATGGAACCAAAATTCACAGGGAGAAAAGTGATTGGAAGGAAATAACAAAGTATGAAAATCAGACGCATTTACACAATTATTTATTTTGTATATGCTTTTATGAGTATCACTTAAATAGATTAATAGATAAGATTGAATGTAAAAAAAATAGTTTTTAAAAAAATCATTTAAAATTATTTTTATGCGAACAGTCGGAGCAGCACACATTAAATTCTGACAAGATTTGGTAACAAATGGATTTTAAAAAAAACCTTTCTGCCCAACGCTGCATTGACCACATTGATGTCATTGATGTTTTGTCTGGGTAGTGTCACAGCTAAACTATTTTCAAAGTGCATTCCTCTGTTTCCTTTATTATGTGTGATGTGTCGGGGAGATCAGAGATAGGAATCAAATGAAAACTCTTTTTGGCGAGAGTTTAATCTCTGCGCAATCGCTTACTACTTTTTGATTTTTTTCTCCCCGTGACTTTTTTTCCCGTTCACAAGTGCCGTCAAGCGCGCCCCAAGATTTTTGCCACCCCCGCTTCCAGTAAAAATCTCCCCAGTTGGCTAAAAAAAAAAAAATCCATATTCAATATTTAAAAAGTGCCACTACCTCCCCCTACCTACGCCAATGATTACGAAATGCAAACAGGTAAGAGGAGAAAACAAACTTTTTTTATGACCTACCCTTTTCTTCTATGCACCGTCTCTCCAGCGCCTCAAAATCATCGCACTTATCCTGGCAAAACGCTGCCCTCGGGTCACTGTCTGCCATCGCTAGGACAATCACCAATGATAAGGCAACAATATCCTTCAGAGCCATGGTTGCTACGTCTACACAACAAAAAAAAAAAAAAAAAAAAAAAAAAAAAAAAAAAAAACCAGCGCTTAGAAATTAGAAAACGAAAAGACACGAAACCTTTGATTTCGTTTTACTCTCCTAAAATGTCACTAAGGTAACAGAAGGGTTTTGTATGACGCGTCAACTCTATAAACCTGTGAAAGCGCCTATCAAGGTCACCTAAGTAGGTCATCTAACAAGGTACCGTACCGGACGAGAAAGAAGAAAGAAGCAGATAGAAGAACATCACTAATCAAGAATATCAGTTATTGACAAAAATTTCCAACCATTGGAAAACTTCAGTTCTACATAAGACTTAACTACCGTTTTATTCTGTAGTATATGCACCGAGAAAACAATTCTGCTCTATTTTAGGTGCGAGTAGTGGAAGAATCCGTCGTTATATATCGGCCTCACCCCAGACAGCTCTGGCCTACAACAATTACTTAGGGCCGCATGTGTACACGATGGGCGCTGTCAGCTGAAGCCAGGATACAAACAGGTGACACACTGAGTCTATTGTCTTTTTATAATCACAACCAATAATTAGTGTTTGGCTACATCAAATGATTACGATCGCTAATGATTTGTGTTTATATTTGTGTTTTGTTTTGTGCCTCATAACATGGAATAATTCGTGTTTTTATATCTGTTTTGTTTTGTGCATCATAACATGGAATAATTCGTGTTTTTATATCTGTTTTGTTTTGTGCATCATAACTTGGAATAATTCGTTGTTTAGGAGGGAAACTATTTTTTTTATATCAACGTATGTCATAATGTATTACGTTAACGCAGTGGTTCTCAACCTTTCTAAAACCACGACCCTTAAATACAGTTCCTCATGTTGTGGCGACCCCCAAACACAAAGTTATTTTCGTTGATACTTTATAACTGCAGAGAATATGTGTTTTCAGATGCTCTAACGCATGTCTCAAATTTAAATAATTAAACAAATCCTAAGAACAAAGTTTCTCTTATAAATCCTATATATGGATTTTCGTTTGCAATTATGTAGTTGTGCGCGATTTAAATTTTATTAAGAAGCGGTTATGCAAATGGGTAAACTTCTTGCGAAAACGCGTTTCATATTTCCTTCATTTGCACCTTCAAAAATCATCTTTCCTTTTTTTACTGCATACCTAAAAGCGTCACAAACACAAAGCACAGGACATAGCAACAGATAAACAATTAATCTCCACACCAAAACACGTAGCCATGGAACAGATCATATTTTATTCACCTTCCCCTAGAAAAACAGGAAAAAACCTGATTTCCGCTCGGAGAGGGGCGGGGCTGAAAATTTGATAGAATGTGTGGTCATCAATTCTTATGTGCCAAGTTTCAATTTGATAGGATGACGGGAAGTGGGCCAGTTAGACGTCCCGAGGTTTTGCCGTAACACAAGGACAAAGGCGAAGTTAATATAAAGGATTTATCAGGAATGACGTCAGCAACTTGGGCCGGAGCTCCATCAGGAATGACGTCAGCAACTTGGGCCGGAGCTCCATCAGGAATGACGTCAGCAACTTGGGCCGGTGCTCCACCAGGAATGACGTCAGCAACTTGGGCCGGAGCTCCATCAGGAATGACGTCAGCAACTTGGGCCGGAGCTCTTATGGAATCCCTATTTGGTTAACGGAAATTTGTTAGAAAGAAATTTCGTCGACGGAAAAATTGATCAAGGAAAAAATTGACGGACGGAAATTTGATCGAACGGAAATTTGGTAGAATCTTTTTTTCTTTTCAGTTCACGCGTTGAAATGTTCGTCAAATTTCATTACGAACGCACTCTACTATTTAGTGAAACAAAATAATACATTCAAAAAGAAATTAGACATTAGACGCAAAATTTTAACGTGTGAACTGGAAAAAAAGTTTCGACAAAATTTAATACATTGTTAAATTGGATTTTAGGGTGTGTTCTAGGGCAACAGTTTGAAAACCGCCGAAGTCACAGGCTTTAAATGACCAAAGAGAGTGATTGGTTTGTACCGTGCGAATGGTTATAAGAGTAACATCTGGTCGTTAAAGGGGAGGTAAAACCGTTAGTGCATTTGAGTGCTGTGCTCTGGTGCTAGGTCGCAGAAAAAGCACAAGGGACAAGTCGTGCATAAATAATGTAAAGTTAGCTCCCTTTCTAGTTGTGCTGACGTCACTGACATCGGGAATTTTAGTTAGAATTTTCACCGTGATAAAATGTACGATTCATGAATGTACTCAGTGCTACATTCCACGAAGGGCCTTATCCAATGTACGACTCATGAATGTACTCAGTGCTACATTCCACGAAGGGCCTTATCCAATGTATGACTCATGAATGTACTCAGTGCTACATTCCACGAAGGGCCTTATCCAATGTATGACTCATGAATGTACTCAGTGCTACATTCCACGAAGGGCCTTATCCAATGTACGACTCATGAATGTACTCAGTGCTACATTCCACGAAGGGCCTTATCCAATGTACGACTCATGAATGTACTCAGTGCTACATTCCACGAAGGGCCGTATCCAATGTATGACTCATGAATGTACTCAGTGCTACATTCCACGAAGGGCCTTATCCAATGTATGACTCATGAATGTACTCAGTGCTACATTCCACGAAGGGCCTTATCCAATGTATGACTCATGAATGTACTCAGTGCTACATTCCACAAAGGGCCTTATCCAATGTATGACTCATGAATGTACTCAGTGCTACATTCCGTGATGGACACGATTACTTTTATGTGGCGCCGTCTATCGGATCGGGTGGTTGTTAAAATGTTGTTTTTGTTTTTTTAATTTTTAAAATAAATACGTTGGCATTTTCTTCCATAACCGACAACTGGTGGTTTCTTGATTGGCGGCACACCGCTAGAATGCGGAACATATGGCCGTAAAACAAAAAAATGATTTTTCATTAATTCCAACTTAAATCATGTCACACCTGCACACGTACAATCAAATTCAATGTTTGAATGTCAAGAAAATTTTCTAGGTCCGAAGGTATTTATATTGCTAACACTAACCAGTTCACAATGTTAGGCCTTATATCAACAATAGAGAAAACCAGTTCACAATGTTAGACCTTATATCAACAATAGAGAAAACCAGTCCATAATTTTAGGCCGTACATCAACAATAGCGAAAACTAGTTCACAATGTTAGGCCTTATATCAACAATAGAGAAAACCAGTCCATAATTTTAGGCCGTACATCAACAATAGAGAAAACCAGTTCACAGTGTTAGGCGTTATATCAAGTTTTGTCAACAATAAAGAAAACCTGGTCACCTACCATGTTTTACCTTCTTATTCTGTTTAATATAGTATATTCTGTATTTATCATGTACATGTTCCGTATATGAGCACCGAGACAATAATTCTGCATGATTTTAGTTATGATATTATATAGGCCACTACCATAACTCAAGACAGGGCTGGAAAACATTGTGTATAAGACGCGGTGGCGTCTAAGATGCGCCTCCCCACCCCCCCCCCTTTTTAATTTAAAAAAAAAAAATTTAAGAATAAAAAATATCTAAATTTCTGCGCGTTAGGCGCACCCCATATTCTAGGCATATTACGAATGGGCGGAGGGGGGTGGTGCCTTCTTTACGCTGACAAATACGGCGCAAACTAAAGGTGTATAGCTGAATCCCTGACACCATAATGTCATACGCGGAGCCTATCGTCTGGTTGTGATTGAGCCAATAATTACCGACATCGCAAGACGTTTACTGTAGCACATCGCTTGTTTGTTGTTGGTGTTTTTTTTTTTTTTTTTCATCATAATATTTAAGAATTCGTTGCTTCTGGCAACAACAAAAAATAATTGCAAGAGTCAGTCCACAACGAAATTGCATCAGATCAAAAAATAATAGAGGCAGCCAAAAAAACGAAAGCACATCGCTTGTTTGTTGTTGGTGTTTTTTTTTTTTTTGCATCATAATATTTAAGAATTCGTTGCTTCTGGCAACAACAAAAAATAATGTCAAGAGTCAGTCCACAACGAAATTGCATCAGATCAAAAAGTAATAGAGGCAGCCAAAATAACGAAAACATTATGTTTTAGGAGTATTATAGTAATAGCAAGAGTAATGGTAATAGCAAAGGTTATGGTAATAGCAAAGGCAATGGTAATAGTAAAAGTAATGGTAATAGCAGAGGCAATGGTAATAGCAAAGGTCGGCTCCTAGTTTGAAGAGAATCGGGAATTTTCACATTCTGAAATCTAAGATGCTCAATTTATGAAGTCAGACAAAATTTTGAAGGGTTAACAGTACTAGTATATACCAGTGGCGCCACCAGGGGGTGGGTGAAGGGGAGTCGACGACCTAGCTTCCGAAGGCGGTGAGTTGAGTTTAAGGGTTAACAAGACATTTCTTCTTCCTCTATATTCTGAGGGCCCACGCTCATTGAATTGATCATCCTGGCTCATGGGGCCCGCAGGGGGGGGGGCAAGTGCCCCCTTGCCCCCCCCCTCCTGGATTGATTGGATAAAAAAATTTAGACAAAAATATACAAAAAATGTATTAAAGTAAGAGAAAATAAAGAGAAATTAACTAAGCTGATGTCCTGTCCGTTCGTTCACCATACAAATACGCTACAGTAAATTAAAACTACATTAAAACAGTACTAACAAATTTTTGCCCCTCCCCCTGGAAAGTTAATCGATTTTTGCCCCCCCCCCCCAGAAAGTTTTCTGCTGGCGCCCATGTCCTGGCTCCTATGTTTCAGAGGGGTTCACGCTGTAACTGTGCATGGTTTTGTAAGGGGATACTTCACTGGTTACATTGGCTTCTCAGCAATGATATCATGAACTGAGGGTTGGAAGACAGGAGGCAATAGACACACATGTGTCAAGTGTAGTCGCCTCAACTGTTTTTTTGTTTTTTGGGCAGCTTGTTCCAGTCCCTGATTGTCTTTGGCAGGAATGAGGAGCTCCTGTACTGAGTTCTTGTTTTTATGAGCCGGAACTGCCTGCCGTGGCCTCGTCGCTGTCTATGGGGGAGAGGGACGAGTTTCTGCTTAATGCTGGAGCAGTGGACCAGCCCATTGTTTATCTTGTACATTTGTTCACTATCATTCGCATCAACAGCGCGTCACTTAAATGGTACTCTGTGCGGTAAAAGTCATGGAGGTATAGCTGGTATTGGTAGGCATTATGCGTAATTGATATACCATGTGATTTATGTAGAGTTAGTTCCGCCTAGGGTGGGCCAAGATTTCTGCCGCCCCTTTCCACGATAAAAACTTTGCAATTGGGCCAAAAACGCCACCACTCAAAAAAAAAAAAAAAAAAAAAACCCAAAAAAAAA